ATGCTAATGAAGGTGGTCAATTGAAACATTCACACCTAGCTCCAGCAGAGAAGAGCTCTTTGCCCCACCCCAACCATTTCACAGATATATAAACCCATTGTCCTACTTCCAACAGACCTCAGTACCTCTGAGGATGCTTGCCATAGATGCAGGCGAAACGTCAGGAGAAAATGCCTCTAGAATATGGCCATATAGCCCAAAAAAACCCACAAGAATCTATAGAATGGTTACTGTTGTATTTCTGTTTACATCCTGCTTTCCTCCTCTGTCCAACCCCACTGACCCTCAGGAAGTTCTGCCCCATGTTTTGGGGGAATCTCTTCCTGCAGCTTGAAAGTGCATCATATGGCAGTGTAGATGGGGCCGGAACCTCTGGAGCAGCAGAAAACAAGCTTGACCTCCTTCCAGCCATTCAAACATTATATTATCTTTTTCCCACCAGCAGTTCAGTTTCAAAGGATGCCTCCACACTGACGAATCAATGCAATTTGACTCTGTTGTCACTGCCATGGCGTAATTCTACGAAATTTATTTATGTATTTATTTATTTACAACATTTCTACCCCGCCCTTCTCGCCCCGAAGGGGACTCAAAGCGGCTAACAAGTAATATGTAAATACAATATATTATTAGGTTCTTGTGGGTTTTTTCGGGCTATAGAGCCATGTTCTGGAGGCATTCTCTCCTGACGTTTCGCCTGCATCTATGGCAAGCATCCTCAGAGGTAGTGAGGTCTGTTGGAATTAGGACAATGGGTTTATATATCTGTGGAATGGCTGGGGTGGGGCAAGGAGCTCTTCTCTGTTGGAGCTAGGTGTGAATGTTTCAACTGATCACCTTCATTAGCATTTGAAGGTCTGCCTGAGCCTGGGAAAATCTGTTGCTGGGAGGTGTTAATCTGTGCCTGGTTGTTTCCTCTCTGTTGTTTAGCTGTTATAATTTTAGAGTTTTTTAATACTGGTAGCCAGATGTTGTTCATTTTCATGGTCTCTTCCTTTCTGTGGAAATTGTCCACATGCTTCTTGTGGATTTCAATGGCTTCTCTGTGTAGTCTGACATGGTGGTTGTTGGTGTGGTCCAAATCCTGGGAGTTGTAGTTTTTATAGGAAATAAATGAATAGGCAATATATATTATCAATATGATATGTACGTACAATTAGCGTAGTGCAGGAGACAAGGGGGCACTGTCTTCCTGGCCCCCTCTCTTCACTCTACAAATCCTGGGAGTTGTAGTTTTTATAGGAAATAAATAAAT